CAATTGAAATTCTAGTCAGTTTCAATCACTGTTGATAAATCCTTTCAATCTGATAAATGTGCTTTGGGGCAGTTGTAACTCATTTATAGAAACTCTTTTGTTTTGAACTGTAAATAGACCTAAACAATAGGATAATCCCTTACTAAGAACATGAATTACATTCACAATTAAGAGACATCAAATCCTACAATTTCATTGGTCGAGAGCACTTTGCTATATTCTAAAGTTATAATAGGAGCTAAAATTCGACTGCATAGATTCAATTCTTTGCCCAATTCATTTGATTTAAATAAGACTATGCATGCGTTTTGTCAAATATCACCGGCGACGTATGATGACCCACAAGTGCAGAATTCGAATCAGGACATGTCTTAACTGAGAAAATGCTCCATTTGATAAATTGCAACAGTTTTTCACTAGTTTGTATCAATTACACAAACGAACACCAATGCCTAAATGTGTGTATACATGGGGTCATACACTGATTTACATTAGGTGTAGTATTGTGTCAAGATTTTACGCCTGTGGCTCTTTTCACAAAAATCTTAAGAGTAAAAATACTTGTAAGTCATAAAATTGAGAATGGAAATGGGGAATGTGTCAAAGAGACAACAACCCGACCATAGAACAGACAACAGCAGAAGGTCACTAACAGGTCTTCAATGCAGAGAGAAATTTCCGCACATTTTAGTATAACTTACGATCAATTTTAATCGTAAGTTTTTTTGTGAAAAGAGTCGCTGGTTTATTAATTGGCCACGATACTCATTTGAATAGTCTATTCTGTTAAGGTCCTTTTAAGTAATATAGCCAAAAGGTTGTGGCGTATTTGCGCATCAACGGCTTTGAAATGTTAAGGATTAGCGTTTTAAATTTGATCAGGTAAATCCATACTAAAGCTCTTCGGATGCACAAAATGTATGAAATGTTTATATTTTCATTGCATGCCAAGCCTTTAAATACTACACCCAGTGTATGTCTGGTTTATGCCAAAGTTATGCTTACTTTAAGCAGGTTTACGCGTGGACATACATTTCTCTAAATATTGCAATGATGGCAGATCATACCTTTAAGCCTATAGTTTCCGTGTGATATTCAGGCGTCACATTTCGTAAATAGCTAACAGTATCTTTATATTAGTATAATTTAAGTAGAGTGGAAGAAAAACATCCTGTTTAAAGGAAGTTTAAAGATTTACATCTTTTTGATCATATTAAAAACAAAGAGGTGGAAAAGTACAGGTTTAAAGAGAATAACAATTGCTCACAAGTACTTTGACACAAAAATTTAATCATAACAGTTCTGAAACTTAACTCTTAAGCTGTCTCTAGTTTTAAAATATTTGGACTTGTCTTCCTGATGATACATATTACCAGAATTTGTATTCTTTGTATTTCTTTCTATTTACACAGAAGTTGGGTTTTCATACATAATCTGACAGTTTTGCACAACCTGTAGCTGAAAACAAGATTCGTGATCAAAATTTTTTATATTTTTTTAAAACAGTATCATGAGTATGATATATAACTACATTTCGGGAAAGTCAATATAATGTCACGACATGCTTACCATACAATGGGTTGACTTAAAACGACACAATGTAAAGTTGAAAAATACATGATATTAATGATCATTTTAAAATTTAATTTCAACTATTACTACTCTCAATCAGAAAACATAACTTTCCCTCTCCCTCGTCAAATTATTGTTTTTCTTCAAGGTTGGGAATCTGAATTTGCTTTTTGAAAAAAAAGCATATATACCCCCCTCTTCAGAGTTCAAAAGTTGATCCCTTAGAGGCTTACAAAGACTGTGGCAGGGTTAAACATGTGACTGCCTCTGAGTCATTGGTTTCATAAGAGAATGTTTGAATCACTCAACGACATTTTTGCATAAAACTCATACAATACAATAAGAATGTTTCTTATAGTTTCCGTCAAAAACTAAAAATTGTGCTAAAAAAAAACGATTCTGATTCAAGGACAATTACTCCTATAATGATTTGACTGATGATTTCAGCCATGTTGACTTATTTGCAGTCAGCTGTGTAATAGAAAAAACAAAGGGTATATGGGGTATCCATCCATGACACAAAATCAGTACATGCACAGCAAAAAACACAAAAACAAAAAAGTAAAGGCACAACGCTTTTATTGCTGTTCTTCGTCTCAAAGTCACAATGAGACCTTCAACACGGAGCCAAAAAAAGGGGGGGAAATTATCATTCAAGGGCAACCCTTTTCAAAAGGGAGTTGACTGATGATTTATTTCTGCCATGCTGACTTATTTGTAGATCTATACTATTCTGCTGATCTTTTTTGTTATTTAGTTTCATCTATCTACATTGTAATGTTATGGGTTCAGTCAAAATTACAAACAAATGAGTAAAAATTACCATTCATTAAGTCATTCAAGGAGCCGACTTACAAATATCTGCTATTTTCAGAACTTTTTCTATATCTATGATGGTTTTCAAAGATAGCCACGATCACAAAAATCATCATTTAAGGGCAATTACTACAATGAGGAGTCTTCTGACAATTTTGACACTACATATGTGGCGTTTGTTTTTGTTGCAATTCAGTGTTTCTGTTGTTCCGTTGTTTTTCTCTTATAGTTGATGTGTTTCCCTCGGTTTTAGTTTGTAACCTTGATTTGTTTTCTCTTAATTGATTTATGACTTTCGAACAGCGGTATACTTCTGTTGCCTTTATATATGTGGTATGATAATGGATATAGAATGTATGTGTTAGACACCACCATGACCACCCTAAGAACTTATTCTAGGAAATAACCAATATTAAAAGAAACTGCTTTTATTGCTGTTCTGCATCTTGACAGCCAATGGAAATCTGAATTGTCTAAACAGATGAGTGTAAATGGGGTCCCTGATCCCTACTTCCCACCCCTTGCTCCCAAACGAAAATCGGTCAAATAGATTTGTCAGCATATCCCTATTTTTAACTTTCCTTTTAGTCCCCCCCCCCCCCCCCCCCCCTCATTCACGTGTTCCCTTATCACGTTCCAACCCCTCTATATATATATACAATATATGCATGTACATTGTCGGAAAATATATGATTTATTTGTATGAGCTTTAGAAACAGGACGAAAAGATCTCATTTAGCTATGAAAATGGGACGAGTTGAGGATATTGAGTCTCTTAATTGAGTGACCAATTTGATTCTTTGCTAGTTGTTCGTCAATTCAAAAATACAGTTAACCTATATAACTTTAGGATCCTGCTCCTTTATTTTAAATCCACCACTGTCAGAATATCTTATCTTTACAAACAAAAGTAAGAGCAATACAAGCATTAGAAATAATGTGATTTATCCTGCAATCAGCTAACTATTGTACAAATAACAGGTAGATCGTACTCGACAGCCTTTCATATTCGTCCTTTAATGACATAAACGGTACCAATTTTTGTTATTTATTTGTGATGTTTGGCGTAAATCAAGCCGTTGGGTTCTCCTTTATATTGTTACATGTTTTGTCATGCCATGTCCTTTTATATCTTACTACTAGTATACAGTATAGGTTTTGCTCATTGTTGAAGGCCAAACAGTGTGCCCAATAGTTGTTACATCAGACTGTATCTTTTGGTCTCTGGCCAAGTTATATTTGATTATCCTGAAATTTACACCCAACACTTGAAACTTTAGTTGTTAAAATCTAAATCATTGTCTCTAATTCGCCGTTTCAGAATCTAATGCATCATGGGTAATATTCTTTGGTGTACGCTGCGACGCCATTTTGAATTTAACGCCACAAAGTTGTAAAGTTGATCGCGTTAGAAATCAACATAGTTTAAACGCGGACCGCGAAGAGGACCCCAAAATGAACTGGTACGCAAAAAGAAATATCCACATTACCGCTTGCTCAACATGGAAGCGGGGTAACATGAGACTTTATTTGTACAAGTGCAAATAAAGCAAAAATTTATTTGTGTACCTGTTATTTGTACAATAGTTAGCTGATTGCAGGATAAATCACATTATTTCTAATGCTTGTATTGCTCTTACTTTTGTTTGTAAAGATAAGATATTCTGACAGTGGTGGATTTAAAATAAAGGAGCAGGATCCTAAAGTTATATAGGTTTACTGTATTTTTGAATTGACGAACAACTAGCAAAGAATTAAATTGGTCACTCAATCATGTCAATTAAGAGACTCAATATCTTATTAGATTAAACACATTCATTTATGATATATATATAATGAGTAAACAAATGATATAACAAATTAAACATGATAAATAATATAAAAACAGTAAAGTTTATTTAAAAGTTATGATAACCATCTATAAGTATCAAAATAATTCATATATAACATCTATATAAAAAAAAAAACCGTGGACGATACGTCTTCACAAAGTATGGCCGTTTTTGTCATATGGCCGTTTCATCTTTTCGGGGTATGGCCGTTTCATCCTATGGACGTCATGGCAGTATGGCCGTCACGTCCTGCATCGATTTACATATTATATACATCGTACATTACAGTGAAGTTACGATTAAGACGGATGTGATCATCTTCACTGCTCCATGCTTAAAACTTGATACTAGTTGCTAATTTATGCTAGGTGTGCGAATATATACATTAGCTTTATAGCTAAACAACCTCCAAAATGATGGTATTAGCAAAGTTCCAAAAATGACAAGATGATTTATGATTGCTAATGCATGTTACAAATATAACTTGGCCAGAGACCAAAAGATACAGTCTGATGTAACAACTATTGGGCACACTGTTTGGCCTTCAACAATGAGCAAAACCTATACTGTATACTAGTAGTAAGATATAAAAGGACATGGCATGACAAAACGTGTAACAATATAAAGGAGAACCCAACGGCTTGATTTACGCCAAACATCACAAATAAATAACAAAAATTGGTACCGTTTATGTCATTAAAGGACGAATATGAGAGGCTGTCGAGTACGATCAATGATAACCAATGAGAGTGGGCGTTTCAAATTGATTAAATGTCATTAACTAGCACGATGAGAACGTTTTCGTTGTGTAAGTGAACTTGAAAAGTGGAGGGTATTAAATCGAAATAAAGAAGTTATTTCTTTTCCCTAGCATTGAGATGGGAAACAAGATAAGTGAACTTTTACCTACAGTATCAAGAAGTTTTAAAAATTACAACATTGAAAATCGATCACACAGGTTTATTCAAAAAGACAAATTACCAGCAGCACCACGACATGACTCCACGGCAGATATATTGGAAAAATTCTCCAAAGAACACCCAGAGTTGTATGAAGCTCAAAAAGTCAAAGACAATGTGCTGGACGAACGCTTAAAGACGTTACATGTAGATTCAACTGGGAAAAACCAAGATATTGTAGCCAAAAAATTGCCCCAGAGCAGAAAGGAAACAGAAGACCCTGAATTCGGATTCGATGAACCCGCTTCAATACCAGAAGGAAAAGTGACTCTTCGACAAACATTAGAATTTATATTGAATCATCAAAAATACCCAGAAGAATACTCGTCAGAACAAGTTGCCAAAGAATATAAGTTAGACCCTGTTCAAGTAAAAAATGTGTTAAAACATTTTCAGACTTTTGAATTGCATGTATCCAATGAATTCAAGAAAAGGAATGAAAAAGCTATGAAATATTTGTCATCACAAAGACAAGAGCCTACTGTTTATAAGCTTGCTGAGTCGACGGATATATCAAAAGAAATTGACAAAAAAACAGCAAACAAATAAGTTTCATCCTCGTTGTCTGTGAAAGAGAATATATACAGGAATTAATTGAGGTGCATTATCTCTGTCTCATGCATTTTGATATGGAAAGAAATAACATGCTTAAATATTTAAAACCATGCAGGTTCTCTCAGATGCAGTTGTAACATTGACAAAAAAACTCTTAAGTTTGTTTGTTTCTTTTTTTAAATGCAAATTAAAAGTCACAAAATGAACTTGGGAGATACTTTCCTCAGAGCCCTCATTTGTAATAGCTCTCTTCTGTAGCATTTTGATCTTCTACATATGTAACACATACTTAAGTTACTGAGCATACTGAGTGCATGATGTACTACATGTATATATAAATGTTGCACATTTTGATATGAAATATTCTAATGAATGCACTTTGATTTGTTTTCATCATGTTCATTAGAATTGGAAATCTTTTTAGTTCCTCTCAGTCAGTTTACAAAAGAGTATTTTCAAAAATTTGACAGTTTGCAACGACTTTCATCACTTTGTCTCTGTTTTACTTTAGCACTGTCATGACTATATCAGCTTATACTTTTTTAACTAACCTGACCCTAACGGCCATTGTACTTGAGCACTGTCCACCAATACTTTTTTTATAGGTCTTTTGACCTAAAGGACCATGTGAAGTAGAGCTATTCTCATTACTTGGCATCTGTTCAGTGTTTAACTTTTACAAAAATCTTCTCGTCTGAACCTAGTCTACTACAATCAGTCAGAGCTCAGACATAAACAAGTCGTTTTTTGTTTTTTACTTACTTACTTCTGACCAATTTTGGTAACTTATCGACTTGTAGGGGTCAATATTTGCAACTTTTTAATTCAGGACAAATATTTCTTGCTTAACACTAATTGACTTATTGAAGTCATAATTTGTCTTAAATTAAAGGGAGACAAATCTTGAAACCTACAAACTTAGACCTCTATGAGTCAAAAGCAGACTAAGACTTATTTATGTCTGAGCTCTGACTGACAATGTAGTTTGATAGGAACCAAACTTAGCCATCATCATCCTGGGGTATCTTGTTTAAAAATGTGTCCTATGACCTTGCTTGCAAAAAAAATGGTTGCCACTAGTTGTTAATTTCTGTGTCATTTGGTTCTCTTGGTGGAGAGTTGTCTCATTGGCGATCATACCACATCTTCTTATTTTTATATTGCCAAAGCTAGAAATAGAACATACTGTAGGGTAAAACGCATGTAAGATATTGTCTTTTATCTTGAAAACTGTTTATATATATCAAGATAATCTGACAAGGGGAGATCTAGAATATTTATGTACTGTTAAATGATAATTTTTTTGTGATTGTGGCTATTATTTTGAAAACCATAGTAGATGGAAAGAAAAGTTCTGTTAATAGCAGCAATTTGTTAGTCGTCTTCTTGGATGAGTAATTGTCCTTAGACATGTTGAATAAAGATGGTTACCCATTTTTGTGATTTTGGCTGAAACAATATACATGTAAAATTGAGAATTGAAATGGGGAATATGCCAAAGAGACAACAACCCGACCAAAGAGCAGACAACATGTAGTATAACCAACATAGAAAGAAACTGTAAATAACAAATATGATCAATGGATACAAATAAGTCAGCATGCATGGCAGAAATCATCAGTCTAGGAAAGGAGGGATTGTCCTCAAATGATGATTTTTACCCTTCTTTTGCTTTTTCTTAAACTAAATAGTAGATTGAGGGAAACTGCAAAAACAAAAATGATCAGCAGATAGATTCAAATATGTCTTTCAGGAATTATTGTCCTTGAATGGTTATTTTTTCCCATTTTCAGCTCACCTGGCAGCAAGGGACAGTGTTGACCCCATTTGCCAACCAACATGGCTGACATGTCTAGAAATCGAACATCAGGGTAAAATTCAAATTTTGTCCATTATCTTGAAATATTCTTGTAAAACCAATATATATAAAGAAATTATGACGGGGGCAAACATGTTCAGAATGATGAGATATTAACATAAAAACTGTCAGAGTACTTTCTGTAGGAGTTATTGCCATGAAAAGACGAATTTTAACTATTTTTTTTAGCTCACCTTGTCCAAAGGGCCAAGTGAGCTTTTCTCATCAATGGGGTCTGTCGTTAATTTTTCTAAAAATCTTCTACCCTGAAACTACTGGGCCAAATTTAACCAAAGTTTGCCACAAACATCATTAGGGTATTTAGTTTTTAAAAAAATGTGTCCTGTCTGCCAACCAACATGGCCGACATGGCTAATAATAGAACATAGGGGTCAAATGCAAGTTTTGTCTATCATCTTGAGAACTGCTTTAAATAGAGAAAATCTGACAGGGGCAGATATGTACAGAATGATTAGATCTACCTATTGTCCATCTACATCTTAACTGTCCGACAACATCTTTCAGGAGTTCTTGTCCTTAGATGACAAATTAACAAGTGTTTTTTTTTCCATTTTTGTCAATTATCTTGAAAATGATAATAGATAGAGAGAAACTTTGAATAACAAAAATTATCAGGTAGACAAGATATACAACAAGTCAACCGGGTGGAAATCGTTAGAAGACTCCTTATTGAAGTTATTGCGTATAATGACGATTTTTGTCTCGCCTGCGACAAAAGTCGCAGTATGCGAGACATACTTTATTACTATCTGGCGCCTGCTGCATAAACTATATGTATAAAGCTTTATATTTCAGAAGGTAGAAGACCTTGATGATTCATACCTTGTATACAGATACCTTATGTTACAAAGTTTCCATCTGTCATATTCCCAATGTCCTTTACCTCATTTTCGTGTTTCAGTGACTGCTTGAAAAAAAAATTACAGTTTTTTTGTCATTTGAATTTCTCACTTATTATGAGTAATAGGATAACTATATTTGGTATATTGTTTCCTTGCAACGTCTACATGTCCTTCAGTTATGTGATTAGGTCCGTTTCTCAGATACTACAAGAAGCAGGTCAACTATATATGTGGTGTATGGAATGATTGTAAGGGATACATGTCAGACTGGCAAGTTTCATCTGACCTTGTCCTCATTTTCATGGTTCATTGGTCATTGTTAATTATTTGTGTTTCAGATTATTTTTCAAGTACTATAAGCAATAGGTCAACTTTATTTGGTGTATGAAATGATTGTGAGGTGTAGATGTCTGTCTAGCTGATGTCATCTGACCTTCACCTCATTTTCATGGTTTATTGGTCATTGTTATTTTTTTGTGTTTTTGTCTGTTTTTCAAGTACTGTAAGCAATAGGTCAACTATATTTGGTTTATGGAATGGTTGTTAGGTGTACATGTCTGTCTAGTTGGTTTCATCTGACCTTGACCTTATTTTCATGGTTCATTAGTCAAGGTTAACTTTTTGTGTTTTGGTCTGTTTTTCAAGTACTTTAAGCAATAGGTCAACTATATTTGGTTTATGGAATGATTGGTAGGTGTATATGTCTGTCTAGCCAGTGTCATCTGACCTTGACCTCATTTTCATGGTTCATTGGTCATTGTTAATTTTTTGTGTTTTGGTCTGTTTATCAAGTACTGTAAGCATAGGTCAACTATATTTGATGTATGGAATGATTGTAAGGTGTACATGTCTGTCTAGTTGGTGTCATCTGACCTTGACCTCATTTTCATGGTTCATTGGGCATTGTTAATTTTTTGTGTTTTGGTCTGTTTTTCAAGTACTGTAAGCAATAGATCAACTATAATTGGTGTTTGGAATGATTGTGAGGTGTACCTGTCTGCCTAGCTGGTGTCATCTGACCTTGACCTCATTTTCATGGTTCATCGGTCAATGTTTAGTTTTTGTGTTTTGGTCTGTTTTTCAAATACTTACTTTTCAACTATAATTGGTGTATGGAATGATTGTAAGGTGCACATGTCTGTCTAGCCAGTATCATCTGACCTTGACCTCATTTCCATGATTCATTTGTTAACATCAAGTTTCTGTGTTTTGATCTGTTTTTCTATTACCATAAGCAATGGGTCAATTATATTTGGTGTATGGAATAATTGTAAGGTGTACATGTCTGTGTGACAATTTTTATCTGACCTTGACCTCATCGTCATGGATCTTTAAGAATGTTAAGTTTATGTGATACGTGTAGTAAAGCCTTTATCTTTAAGACTTTCAACATAAAATCAATGGTCAGTAAGACAGGCGATACATTTCAGCGTGTGCACTCTTGTTATAATTATTCTTATTTTTTATTGTATCTGAAAACCGATTATAGATAGATAGAAACTTAAATAGGCAAAAAAGATCTACAAATAAGTTCACAATGTTGAATCGTCTGACAACCCCTTATCACATGGACTCGGTTAAAAGATTACAATTTTGTTTAATATCAATGTTTTTCAAAAATCTTTTTTTCGTATTTCCTGTCATTTGTATTACATTATTAACGTTTTTAACGTTGGCATCAATATTTCTTTGTTTTCTAGCAATGTGCAGTTTACTATCCATATCCGTATACTGAAAAATAGTAAACTGCACATTGCTAGAAAACAATAGGATTTTTCAGTATACGGATATGGATAGTGAACTGCACATTGCTAGAAAACAAAGAAATATTGATGTCAACGTTAAAAACGTTGATAATGTAATACAAATAGACAGGAAATACGAAAAAAAAGATTTGAAAAACATTGATAAACAAAATTGTAATCTGCTAACCGAGTCCCTGTGCCCTTATTAGAGTTATTGCTCCTTAATGACGATTTTTACCATTTTTTTTTTAGGTTGTTCATAATATCTGAAAAACTGTAATCGATAGACATAAAATTAAATAAGCAAAAATTATCAGCAAGACAAGATCTACAAATAAGTTTACTGACCGAAATCATCGGCTTAGCTAGACTAGGCCATTGGTAAATGTACGCCCGAACCTCGACGAGGTCTGGGGTCGCTACATAAGACTCATCAGTGACGCTCGAATACAAAATAGTTAAAAAGGCCAAATAAAGTACGAAGTTGAAGAGCATTGAGGACCTGCAATTCCGAAAGGTTTTGCCAAATACAGCTATACGGTAATCTTTTCCTAGGGTTCCAGCAAGGAGGCTAATCCCATGAAGCTCACGCATTATCGGGAAACAGGTATCATAGCTACCATTCAAAACTCATCAGTATCAACATACTTTGGAGACTAATTAGTTTATTTTCATGTAGAATTCATTGTGTTGATTTGGAATCCAATGGTCATTGGTTTTAAAGCAAAAATGTCCAAACCATGCGGTTACTGTACAATATGTTTAAAGGAGATGTGGGGTAAAACAATCAATCGAGAAAAAAAAATTAAACTTTAGAGATAGTGAAAATCAATTGGTGTCGTTCTATTAATTATTTCGACTTCATCCAATTTTCCCCCTTTTTCATGCCAAAATTTCGTTACTGGGCACATGAAATAATTAATTTTCACACGGATGGTAAGATGTAATATAAAAATG